GTTTCTCTCCTTTCTGACTGACGCTGTCTAAACATAATTCTTGTAAGAACAGCTCAGGCTCTCTGACATCTGAACAATGGAACGTGCATTTAGTTGTAGCCCTCATGCCGCCTCCACATTTATCGACGAGGTTTCTGTGACAGCTTTAAGAAAGGAAGAGCACATTGCATATGTAAAAGAAGAGTGCTCTGTACTCATTACGGGCTTCGTAATTGAGCTGCCAACCCAAAATATTTCCGTTATCCACTGTGTAACTGTGATATCTTTTGTGTGATAGAAATTTGCCAAGAGGTTCATTTCAGGTCATGGTCAAAGAGGTCACTGCTTATGCTAAGTATGATATTCTTCAAAGCTTTTTAAAAGGGCGCTGTAGAAGCTCTGCAGCAGAGGACCCTGATCATGGTTCATGGGTGCCTATGAGGACAGGTACTGCAGTGCAATTGCCTGCCCTTCTCAAGAAGCATCAATGTAATCTGATTCAGGGACTTTCTCAGATGAGTAGAGTGGCTTTTGTACATCTAATCACCTTTCCTCATCACCAAGCTGGAGTAAGCACTGGCACATAGTCACGGTGTGTCTATCCACTGCTGCAGCAAGCAGAGCCAAATGTAGCAACCTGAATTTGGACTGTTTCCTCATCAGAAAAGCCCAGAGTTTTTGAAGTGGTAGTGCCTGGGTTTGGATATTTGGGGTTTTTTTTGGAGGAACAGAGGAGAGATTTGACAATCCTCAAGATCAGCGGAATAGTCTAACTGAAGTACGATTTCAACAGTGGTTGAATATTGAGCCTATAGGCTTAGAAGTCTCCCATAAAGGACATAACTTTATTTTGTCCTTGTGATTTTGTGCTTTGATTCAACTAACTAATGATTTATTATGACCTGGAGGGTAATAAAAAATACTATACTGAAGCTTTTATTGTTTCATTTTGGTACACATTAAATTTTGGTATTATCTTTTACTGGTGTTTCTAACTTCCACCTTCTGTGCAAGTTTAGGTTAATAACCCGCACATGAAAACTCGGGAAGGCTGCAGGCATGATGTGTGCATGTCAGCACTGGTTGCGCTGCTCTAGCCCAATTCTCTGGTTAAGACACTTGTCTCAATGGGCTTTACTACATCCCATATTATATTTTCACAAGCAATTTGCTTGTGAAAAAAAGAAACTCAGTAAATTTGGAGAAGCTGTATTGTCTCCACCTCCTTGCTTGAAGACGTTACTGCTGTGATGTGTGCTGGATCTGGTCAGCATGGCTTAGGAAGCTCCCAAAAGGGTATTTTAGGTGAGTTGTAATTGTCACATCCAGCTTTTCCAGAACAAAATCAGCTTGACTCTTGTAGCCCCTAACATCTCCATCAGGGATGTGTAAATCAGACTGGTTTCCAGCCTGGATTCACTTGCTCCCTGTCTTTTCATATTGTGTAGACACTTTACATTTACCTGGGAGGCTGTAATGTGGTCTAGGCTTGCAAGAGGACTTGCAAACCCTGTGGTAGTTGTAGTATTGCTAAATTACTTTGCAATGCTCGGTTTCTCCTTCTGTCAGATGGATATAGTTGTTCCTCCCCAGGTTGTCTTCCAGACAGAGAGATTTTGTTGAAAGCAACCCATCGAGTCCATGCAGAGGTGCTAACAGCCCCCAGATTTCCAACTCCTAGTTCTTCTACCCTGATGGCTAAAGAGCTCAGCAAGCACCCAAGACAACTACCAGATTGCAGGTCAAATTACACCTGCAGATTTGTCTTCCTTTTATATCCTAGTTTAACACCCCGCTGCTTGTGTAGATCAACAAAACTGGAGATGAAGACAGTAATTATTACCATTATGAACTTTATTCTTTTTACTTACTTGTAGTGCAGCACTAAGAGTCCCACTGTGTTGGGCATGATACAGCAGCACAACAAGTGCCAGTCCCTCCCCAAACTCCCTAGAATCTGGCGTTTCTTTTGTTTCAAGTATTTTGGGGTAGGATAAAATGTTTGTATCTTCCTGTGCCTCTGCATTACACTGTATAAAAAGGAAGGTAATAATTTTTGAGCTGCTCCTGCTGGAGAATTTTTTGCCTGCTCTAAAATCGCAGGCTGAGGGACACAGGCATTCGGGTAGTCAGCATGACATTGACCCCGAGGTAGAAAACAGCTCTGTCTCAAGCGCTGCCCTTATCTACTCTTCTGTTAGCTGGTTATCTGGAGTATGCACCTTGCAACCTCAGGTGTATTGTCATCAATCATTTGCTATTTTCTTTTGCGTACTGGTTCCTCTCTGCCCTTCCTTTGTTAATAACCCAGTTTGCCTATATCCATAAATATATCTGATTGTGATACCATTTATCCAAAGCACCATACATCAATCATGTACTTATGAGCGAGATAAACAAGGTCTCCTGGGAAATATGCCGCAAGAAATATATAGGATAAATAACTATATCAAATGTTTGTCAGTGTGTAAGAGGGGAAAATCCATTCATTAAAACCAGGGTGGAACTGCAGTGTTTTCTTGTGCCCTCTAAGCTTTTAGTTTAAGTAAGAAACATACATTTTTGCTGCTTATCTCATCTAACACAACTCTCATGCTGGCCACTTCAGCATGAGATATATTAGCTTCTTTGACTGGCATTGTAAATGTGTAATTGCTCATAATCTGTTTTTTTTTCCATCCCTTACAGGCAGCTTCTTCCTTTCTTTTGACTTCAGTTTTGCTGCTCCCAAGTTTCAGCCGTGCATATGTCTGAGCCCTCGATGCAGCGGGGGACTGGAGTGGGAGGAGAGGGACTGCTATCGAGCTCCCTTTGGCATTTGAAGGAAACCCTTGGGTTTGTATTTCATTGCCCTGGGTTTGTGAGGTGAACGATGAACTCTGCCCCACACGTATCCTTGCTTTCGTCTCTATACTTCAACACCGCAGTGTTCAAAGTGGAGAATGAACAACTGCAGGCAAATCCCAGCTTTTGCTCTTATTTATATGTGCTTCATGGCGGTATTTCAGATGTGGTTTCTTTAATCACTTGGATTTATTCTTTTTTGTGTAGTTCTCCAGCCTGTGATCTATCCTTCTAGAAATGGCTCTAAAAGCTGAGGATGCAGGTTGCCTTCCTGCAGGCCCTGTCCCTCCCCAGCCTCCAAGGCATCCGATCTTTCTGTTCATTAATTTCTTCCCTCTGGTCACAAAAGAAGCATACCTGGCTTTCTAACTAAGGTGACTTTATACTGATTTACTTTCAGGCATTTTCCTGAGTCCTGAACAGTCGGTGTAAAGGTAAGAATCGCCTATGAGCCAAACAAGTCCTTGGTGTAAGAGCACTGTCTCCTGTTTCTACATAGCTTGCCAGCCCAACGTCAAACAGTATTGATAAAACCATTGATGGGAAAACTTGTTTTGATTCTACATTTCATATTCCTCTGGGATGTCTAAATCATAGTGATATATGGGTACTTCATGCTGCTGCATTTTCCCAATGTAGAAGACATCCGATTCAAGCCTTTGGGAGCAAATTAATCTCTGGGTAAGTATCACCTTTACCCGGAAAAACAAAGTTGGCAAAAAGGCCGCAGCTTTACCACTCATCATGGGGATTTTTTCACAGAACAATTACATCTCAGTGTTCGAGAGAATATGGTTTGTTGTCTTCATATACAAAAACAGCCTATAGTTTCATTTTCTAGCAAAAGAGAATTGGTGAAAAAATTGTCCTTTGGCAAACATGCACACAAAAGAAAATATGGGGCCAGAACTTCAGGTAGTATAAATCAGCTGCGGCAAAGGAGCGGCACTGATTTACATCAGCTAAGTGTCAGACTCTAAATCACCACTGACTGTGCTGTTGAAAAACAAGCATTTCCAAGAATCAGAGCTATGGCTGAGCAATTTCTTTCACTAAACCATGGTTCCTTTCTACTCCCTCTTTCCATTCAAATGTATATAGAAGTGCTCCTTTGTGCTTTGAGGTTTTGTTGCTGTTGTTGCTTTTCATAATGCCTGATTCCTTCTCAGGGCTTTTTTTTTTTTCCTCTTTCCTTGTAACAAAAAGCATAGTAAAATGAAGTGCCATTCACCTTCCGTCCACCCCAGGTTTTTGTGGCAGTTCATTAAGAAGAGGGAGCTGCAGGCTCTTGCTATGGTCTCTGGACGCAGTTCAATACTGTGTGTATTCTTGTGCTGAGATTTACGTCTTACATTCAGAAAAGCCCCTTAAATCAAGCAGCCTGTTAGCATCTTCTCCGGCTCTGGGTGCCTGGGAGATAAAATGCCTGTGTGCTAATAGTCAATTCATCACTGATCCTAAAGAGGAGTAGCCTCCGCTTGCGTGTGAACATCCTCTGCCGAAAGGTTGTGTTTGAGCATCTCTATTTATTACTTTATTTATTTAAGATTCTTTGTCAGTTTGGGTTCACATTTTGCAACGATGCTTTGGAATCTTCAGGCTTAAGCCTCCTCCCATACAGAGCAGCACATGGCTTTGCTGCAAATGCAGCCCTGGCCAATATGCTGGACTTAAAAATCTGACAGTGCCAACTTATAAAAGTTTCATAGTACATATGTCAGTACCAACTGCATAAAAATGCGAGGATCATGAGCTTTTAACGTGTTTTCTAAAGGCAAATATTAAAATTTCTGGAAGTCAAGCATATTTATGTAAACACTTTTAGTAATTTTATTTCGTGATGTGTTACAGCCCCTCAGTCACCCAGCAGCAAAGCCACCCATGTGGATCCTCCGCCATCTCCTGTATCACAGTGCCGCTGTGAACTGGTGGGGCTCCCATCACATCTTGTGGTGTGAGGGCGAGGGGGCAGCCAGGCAATCAACTGGAGCAATTGGTCTGGTTTTATACAGCGAATCCAGCATGTATCCGTACATATAGAAATGCAATACTTGACAATTATTTCTCCCAAGTGTAATTCTGTTGCAGGATTATGCCCAGAGTATTTATAGCCCAGCACAGACTCCAAACCACTCTCAACCAAGTACCTGTGGGGAGCAATGCCATCCTGTGGGCTTTCAGCAGGCTTTGCTCTGCAGGTGCCTCCCTGTGCAGGGCTCCCCACCACCCTGCGGGGCTGGGTTGTTGCACTGCCGGCTGCGCTGCATTGTGCCCGACTGGCAGGGAGCCCATTGTGACCAGCAGCTCCAGCGCCCGTTCGTCT